AGGCTTCTTGGAATATTGTCATGAATAGAAGTAATTTTTAAGCAAACACTCATGTTCCTCAAGGAATGGAGGTGTAGTGGGACTGAGTGTAATGTATGGCAGTGGACCCCTCATCTTCAACTAAGATATCTGGAGCAATGAGGAATAAAAACTTGTAGCAGAATTAGATATGAGAGTGAATGCAACATCATTGGCAACGTTTTTATGTAATGAGTATTGCTACCCATGGAATACCTAGGCTTTTGGGACCTATATAACTTAGTGTCAGTTTCTGGAACAGCTTGTGAAATGGACTGATAATAAAAATGATTATGTTTTCAAGTTTTATTGCCTGCTTCATGCAGCTATTTTAAGTTATTATATTTGCATTTTTCTTCTCATATACTGGTAGTCTTTAATTCTTTAAGTATATTGATGTTATTTTAAATTTAATAGGTATCATCAGATAAATATAACTCAGTTGTAATGTATCAATATACTATGCTCTCTATGGTGTTTCAGTATGAGAATGTGATGGCTTTAACTATTCTTCAGGAAGCCATAGTGTAATGAAATAATTAAAAAGATTTTTCTCTTTAAAATGGTGCATACTTTCCTTTCTCTCCCAAGTTTCAGCTTCTTTTGTAGTAGTAAAGTGAGACTGGTACAGTATGGCGGTGAGGTATATGTTGAAACAAGCCAGTGCAAAAACCTTTGAAATTATGTGATGGCTGGGGAAGGTTTGGTGGAGGGGGAACAGCATAGAAGGAGAGGTGTTGCTTATTCCTGCACTTTATGCGATCTTGAAAACTAGTTTGTGGGAGTGATTTAAAAAATATATATATTTATGTATTTATTAGCTTACCCTGAATAGTTAAATGCAAAGCAACCTTTGGATTGTAAATGTTTGAAGACTGTGTGTGTGTGTGTGTATGGCGGGGGGAGATTATATTATCTCTGAGTAAATGTGATATGTAATATTCTAGTCAGATATCCTTAGTCCCCCCTCCTCTATATCCTCTCTAAGAAGGTATCTATTATTGCCAGAATTGTCACTGGCGGGAGTTTGTCAATCTCTGCCACTGTGATGTCTGGTCTGTTTTAAATATACTTCTTTTGGTCTGGAGTATTCAATTTATATTTTTTCTTTTAGTTCCCCACCTTTCGTCAGATGGTCCTTCCATTTGTACCATCTTCAGCTTTTAGTTTATTTTAAAGCTTATTTTGTTGTTAGAGAACAAACCTCTGCTTTTGCTTGTTAGGAAACCAAGCTTCCCTCATGGAAGCGTTATATATGCAGATTTGAATAGATGCAAGTTTATCTTGTGAAATCGTTAGTGCCAGGAAAAGGAGTAATTAGGAAAGAAAGAAGTCATTTTCTCTCGTTTGGAGGCAGCATCTGCCAGGAGGAGTGCTTCAGAGCATTTTCCTGTACAGCTTCTGCAAAGGAAGAGACAGGGAGGCTGTCAAGCAATGTTTTTTATTGGGATTAATGAGCCAGTTTCCAAAGGCTCAGCATTAGTGAACATACGTTTGACTCTTTATCAAGGAATTAGGAGACTAAACTATGATTGCAGATGATAATTTGGTCTTTTTTCCCCTCTCTCTGTATTAGCAAGAACAATTTAGTTCACTTTATTACAACTTAGTCTAAAAAATGTAGTTGCTGTTCAGTTATTCCTGTTGCTGAAGCAGACTTCAGTCAAAGGAGGAGGTTGAATGTCTGAGGGTGGTTTCTGCATCAACCATCTGTTCTGCTACTGTGCTACCAGTCAAAGCCCACAGTTCTCTCCTTTTTCTCTTCTTCCCCTCCACCCTCCCAAATCTAGGCATGCTGGCTGATGTATTTTTAGGGTGGCCCAAGGTTTAATTTATCCTTTTCCACCTATGCTAGAAAATAGGGATCAGTCCAAACGCTTGGCTCCTGTACCTCCGACCCGCTACAGGACCGGGAGATGCATGTGGCTGACACAGGGGAGTAAGTTGGTTGTTTGTATTCCCAGATTTCCTTAAATAGGCATGCTGTGCTATCTTTTGAAGCTTTCTGTAGTGCTTGTCTTGTAACCCCTTTTCCTCTTGGCATAGAACTTGATTTTGTTCCTGAGTTCTCATAATGATCTTATTTACAGGCACATTAGTTTAACTTTTCTATGCCTTTTAGTATCCGGCATAAGAGAAATTTGTATCGTCTTAATGATGTTCATTTTTAGCTTCTGTGAAGAAGGAACAACAGCATTCAACAGAAAAACTTCTCTAGGGGGACAGCCTTGGCAGCTAAATGGAATGTGGACGCTCAGAGCTTCTTTGTCAATAGCAGAGAAAGAAAACAGGCTTTGAGATGAAGTCATTTAACTCCTCTGGAGTCTCCAGAGGAGACCAAAAAAAAAAATACAAAAGCTAAAATGAGTTGTATTCATTGCAATTACAAAGAATAAATATTTAGTTTTTTTTTGTTTTGTTTTGTTTTTTTACTGATCAAGTAGGCATATACGATAATGCTACATCTGGGCCAGGAGAAACTATTTATCCAGTCCTGTTCAGACTCTGTATTTTTGAACTATGCTAAATCCGTAGATGTGTCAGAGATCAGAATGTAGATCTCAAAAAAAAAAAAAAAAAAAAAGTTATAAAAATGTTGCTGATGTGGTTGCCATTGCCACAGAGAATGACACTGTAAGGAAAAAAAACTCCAAGAAAAAAAAAAGTTCTCCCTGTTCTTATCTGGGTTATAATAGCTAATCTTATGAATTAATGTGCTAGGCAGTGAGATTAAAAGGCTCACCGCTTGCTAAATAGGAATATTTGTGGGTTTTGGTAGACATTTGCCTTTTCTTGTCCTTTCCTGCAATAAATTAAATGTGCAAAATATTCCACATTTTTCTTAAATCCATTATCCAATACTTGTGGGTAAACTACTTCCAAAAAGATTTCATCAAGAGCCTTTTGTTCACTTGAACAAGAAGAATTTACAAGATATCATTGGTTTAAATTGCAGTAATGTTCACAAAAACAATTCTGTCAGTGTCACTTTCTTGGTGAATTTGCATGTTCGACTTTACAAAATACACATCATCTCAAAAATTTCTGCTTTCTTTAGAGCAAAAACCCTTCACATTTTTAATAGAAGTTCTGCGTACTTCTGTTCTATGAGAGAATAAATAGATTCTTTCTTCTATGCTGTAATGTTAACTTGGGTTTCAAATTTCCCCATAAACTTCTGCTGCAGATTAAAAGAATCACTCTTACTTCACATATGTTATGTATGCATTTTTGTTTTCTAAGCAAGTATTGAACAATCAATCTTTTTTTTTTTTTTTTGCAAATAAATGATTTAGTTAGTTTTTTTACTAACCGTGTGGCACAATTAAATCTTATTAGAAATTGGGAGTCTGTTGTGCTATCAGAATAGTGCTTTTAGTATCAATCGAGTATAAAGTCTCCAAATGTCAGTCTTGTGTTTAGAGGAGAACTTAAGGTACCTCAATGTAGAACAGTTCAGGAAAAGCACACTGGTGTCCCGAAGCTCTTCCTTATCAGTTCCAGGCCCTAGCAGTGACACTGCTGTTAATGCAGAATTTCTCACCTGCCCACAGGCTGTCTGCCCAGATCGGAGCAGCTTGTTAAAAGTGGCAGCTCAGCGTGATTTTGTGCATTGTGAAATATGGCTTCAAGAACCAGTGTTAACAACCAGTGCTCAAAATGAAAGAGAAAATTAAAATAGGAATACAGTTTGCGTGTTTTTCTTTTTGTGATTTAGTTTGATATTAGTTGGTATGCTACTGTCAATAGTATGAGTCTTCCATGAACAGACAGAAGACTTACATTTATTTATTTATTTTTAACAAGAAAGCCTGATAAACATTCACCAGATATGACAACCAGTTATAGCTGCATTTCATATTGATTGTTGGAGAAATTATGGAGACCAGAAAGCATTTTTAATTGGGATTTTGAACAACTCTGAAAATGGTAAAATTGGTGAGAGTACACATGCTGTATACACTCACAATGGTTTTTATACATAGTTATATAGAAATCTATATTTCTCTATTTGTATAAAAAGAAAAAGGACAAGGCTGTTTGTTACTTGTGCTAATGGGTCCATAGGAAGAGAATTTTATTATATTTTGAGGATTTTTTTTAATTTTTTAACAAGCTGAAGGGCTCTCCTTAGGAATAAACATGCAGAATTTCCATAAAGCAGCAAAATCCCCCTTCTAACTTTTTCTAACCTTTTTTTTTTTTTTTTTTTTGCAAAGAAAGCATTGAGCAACTGGGTGGGAGCATGAAGAATGAGAGGTTTAATATGGAATGCCTTGAGACCATAAATGTTCTTGTGGGAGTGCAAGAGGAGGCAATCTCCTTGTTCCAAGGGGAGCAGAAAATGGAATATGTATCAAAGCCTGTTATAATATGCAAATAGAAAAATCATGGAAAGGTAAATCATGAAATAACAAAAATCGGTTGTACAACCACCTCATTGTAAAGAGTAATAACATTTGGAAGGCAACTGAAAGCAAAGGATGGTGGACATTCCCAGCATTCTTGCTCTTCTGTTTTTGTCAGTGACAACATTTTCAATATGAGGAACTTACCATAAAAGAAACTAATTTGCTGCTTTTACCATTGCTAGGAGATGCGTAACGATATACTATAGCAAGTATCTATTCCTGTATGAAACAGAATGAGCAAGTTAACTGAGTTTTAATGTGCCCACAGAAAGCTGTAAAATGAAGGACTCAAATGGGGGTCTTGATAGAATATATTGGTCCTCTGAGATAGTTGGTATAATCTTCTTATTACCCACCTTCATGAACCAATTTTTGTGTAACCCATTTGGCAGCTCTCAACTGTTAAAACTTCAGTTAAAACATTAATTTAATCAATTTTGTTGATATTACGAACTTAATCCTTTAAAAGCTTGGTTATGTGGTGTCTTCTAGCTACCTGGTATATACAAACTGCACAATAAAGTTGCAAAGATTACTTTATTAAAAAAAAAAAAAAAACTTAATTTGATCATGACTCCTTCAAGAACTGTAACAGTTGTCCGGGTAATGGCTTTATATTGGGAATCAGCAGCGGTTTGAAACTGATACAATAGGGAAACTTGGCTTGATTTTTCAGGCAAAATGAAAATAGAACTGGAGGAGTATTATTAAAGCAGGATACATGATGGTATAAAGAACAACAGGCTGTAGTGTACACATTGCTAAATGAGCAATGGTAAATGGTTCATAAGTAGGTAAAGTATTGGAAGACATTGATATTAATGTGAATAAAACTGAGGGGGGAAAATCTGGATAGTTTTGTACTATTATCTTCATTTTAAGAAACTGACATCTTTATATGGGATATTTATATTAGGTATAGCTAAAAGCTACAGTTTATGGATAGTTGCTGGCTTGTATATTTGATCTTGTGGCAAAAAGTGTGAGTAGATACAAAAAGTTAGCCATATTTATGCTTATATTTGTTTCAATCTTCAGATTTCCTTTTTAAGTTCCTGGTCATTGGAAATGCTGGAACTGGAAAATCCTGTTTGCTGCATCAATTCATTGAGAAGAAATGTGAGTATATGTGCTCATAGAAAGAGTTCTCCATTATGTTGTACAACAGGTTCTCTTGAAGATGTGCGAAGGTTCTATAAGAGAATTTGTAGTAGTAAGAAATGTATGGATATAATTCTCATCTATTTGGGTAGATGAGAATTTTGTCTTACAGCATAGTTTTGAAAGTAATTGTAAGTCTTTAGTTTCCCTCTGATCAAAAGCTTGATGTTCAGCAGTATCTCTGTCATAGGTCAACTAAATATAAGATATTGATGGAAAACACATCCTTTGTTTGTAAATTAAAGTTTGCAGTTACTATTTATCTGGGGAAGATTATAAGTTCTCAAACCTTCTCTAGAGATATTAAGCAGATTAAAGAAGAAGTGAAATTGCTTAAGTGGATCTGGAAAGCTTGTTGTGTAGAGTTCAGATCTCCCAACATCCAGTCTCCTTCCAAAAGAGCCAGATTTCCTGTGCTTCTTGTTAAATAACACAGAACATGATATTAGTGTACTAAATGTTATTGGACGTGGATAGGAAAGAAAATTTCTCTTCAAATGCACTCTTAAATTACATTGGAGTATTAGAAAGTATAACTGAAGAGAGTGTGCAGAAGTTTTCCCATAACTTGCTAGTGGAAGCAAGGAATAACTTTATTAAACTACTAATAATTACGATATGAAGAGGATGTTCAAAATATTGCAAGAAATATTTGTTTCTGAATGGTGATTGATAGGCCTTATGAATTGTGCAGATTTTTTGATCTTTCAGGAAGTAGTTTGTAATTTCAACAGTGTAGAGTTTTGATCCTGTCTAAATAGAATTATGTAAAACTAATTGTTTGCTGTAATTATTCTCTAAACTTGTCTGCATTTTCTTTTCTTTTCTTTTTTAGTCAAAGATGACTCCAATCATACTATAGGAGTTGAATTTGGCTCGAAGATCATAAACGTTGGTGGTAAATATGTAAAACTGCAGATATGGGATACAGCAGGACAAGAGAGATTCAGGTATCCTTTTCATTCATCTTATTAAATGGCGTTGTTAACCTTGTGGGTGCAGGGTAATATTTGTGGGTGCTGAGTAACGTTTATCTCTACTTATAACTTAACTCTGTTTAGATATTTATCTCTACTTATAGCTTAATTCTATTTAGATCTTATCTAGGTGGGAACAAGTAAATACTGGAAAGTTTTAAGTGAATCAAGTTGTTACCTAAATCCAAGTTATTTAATATAGCTTATTTCACATTATTTAATTTAAAACTTTTAAGAGAGCTGCCTGCCACAGTGTGTATTATGTTAACTTGACCTTGAAACAACGAAAATGTTACAGAAACATACATCTGTAATTCTGTTGCAGGTCTGTAACAAGAAGTTATTATAGAGGTGCTGCAGGTGCTTTGCTTGTCTATGATATCACCAGGTAAGAAAGTTAACAACTCTATTTAATGGCTATCGGATACAAATAAAAAGACTTCTGTTTTAAACAATATGTATTTAAGTTTTGGAGCTTACATGAAATGATATGAAGTCCATACATGTTAACAGTCTCAGAAAAGAATTAGACAAAATTATGGGGACTGTTTTAATTGTGGCAGACTCCATGCAATACCATCATTGACTCAAGAAGCTTTGTGAGCACTGGCTGTTGGAAATGCAATAAATTTGAGGAGGATCACTATGCATGTGTTATGCTATTCTCCAGGTGTCCTTTACACATGTGGCTTTGCTCAATTTCATAGCTTCAAAACAAGTAATAATCTGACACTTGACAGGATGCCACAGGAAAAAAAGCAGATTTTTAATGCCTTTTAATTGAGGAAATACCTCCCTTGGGGACACCGCATATTAGTATGCAGGTACAATAGGACATCCTCTAAAGAGGCTGGTTCTGCCTACTCATTCCTTAACTTTAGCCCCCAAATCCGTTTGTCTCTGCATCTGTTATACTCAGCTAATCACACACCTCACCTTTATACACTTTCAGTTTTTTGTCTGGCCATCATTAATTGATACTGATCAGATAGATTTGGTGTTTGGTTAATGGTGATTTACTAAGTGTCTTTTTACCCTTCTCCCCCCAGATCAGTGGGCTGTTTTCATTGTAATCTGCATTTTTTGGATAAAGTCGATTCAGTCTCATTTGTCAGTAGTTTTGCTTGAGGGCTACATCTCTGACCACCACTGCATTGACTAATATTGTGTACAAGTAACTAACTGCCTGTGATATCATTGGTGTTAACACAAAGGTGGAACTTCGGGACCATGACTTTTCCATAAGGATAAGATGTTTTTGGCATCCCCTTTAAAACTGCATATCCATTAATTCCATGTTAACCCATAATTCCGTCCATTATCCCTAGACTTCATGCACAAGCTGAAGCTAAATTAGGCACATAAAATTTTAGCTTTTTGCATTACCAAGGTGTTTTTTTCTTTTTTTCCCTCAAAACTATTTTTTACACTATTAATATCCAGTTACTACTACTCAGACGCTGCAAGTAGACTAATTCAACTCATTGTGCTGTGTGAATGTTCTTTTTTGGTCACTTATTTCCCTTTATCTGGAATTGTCACTCTGAAAGGTACTAGCAGTGGTTCCAGAGAGCTTTAGTGAGTGGGCATGTTTTAGCAAAACCTCATAGGACCTAGTGTCTAGATCAGAAATTATTAATGAAAATGGTCATCTTAGGAACGGAGGCAGTGAAGCACTCTGCCTCTTATTCTCAGAACTGTTGTAAACTGTGAGAACTAATCTGGAGGGCACTGCTTTCTAAAGTCTCCAACATGAAACTGCAGCACTTGGCTTTGATCTCTTGACTAGTCTCTCTTGCCACAGAAAATGCTCAGAAGAAATTGGGTGCCTTTGTGGTTGATCTGATTTTGATTTGTAAAAACTTTTATTTTTAATAGCCTTATGCAGGAGCTTGATAGTCTTCCCAGTTTACAGATGGCATATAGGAGATCTATAGATGGCTCATGTGGGAGCAGTTTGTGGCTTGCACAAATGTAATTCTGAATTTTAATCCAGTCTGACTTCCTAGTCTGTTCACTAGAAATGTTAATGCTCTAATCAAGGATGTTATTTTCTACACAGCCGAGAAACCTACAATGCACTTACCAATTGGTTGACAGATGCAAGAATGCTAGCCAGTCAAAATATTGTGATAATACTCTGTGGAAACAAAAAGGATCTGGATGCAGATCGTGAAGTTACTTTTTTAGAAGCATCCCGGTTTGCCCAAGAAAATGGTAAGTAGTTCATAAGCTCTTCCCATAACATTGAAAGATGCTTAATACTTAAAATAATTTAGTTTCTGTGCAGCTACAGACTGATTTTTTTTGTGCACGATATCTTGTTAAATATCTACAGAAAATAGTTCTGTCAGGAAATGAGATGCAGAGGGAGAAAAATGTTGGTAATGAGAACTACATGTACTCTTCAATTCCCATTACCAGCCAGTAATTTTTCTATCCACAACTGCTACTTAAAGGGTATCTTGAGTAGTTAGAAATATTGCTTAGTGAGTATATACAAATGTGGGCATTGCTTGTAAAGGACTGGAGAGAAAATGAAGGGTAATATTTTTCTAGTTTCATCTTCCAGATTTTACAGATTTACAGATAATGTTAGAGAGAGTGTGCCACACATATGCAATGCACTTATATAACGGCATTATATAAATAATGCATTTTATCTATGAGAGAGTGAGTTCCAGGCATGGCATGGGTCCTGAGGACTATTATCCAGGCTTCAATATTCACAATTTTGAGTCATTGAGTGCATACTTCTGTGACAGCTAAAACCAGTCTCAGTCCAAGCTATTGTGCTGGATTCTTTCCATCAGTAAAATGTCTTTAGTCTTATATATTGATTATAACTTTTTTTTCCCACTATGTTTTTTACTTTGGATGCTGAATGCCCTTTTACATGTCATTTTCTATTAGCTGAAAACTATGTGGGATGACTTAGTTGGTTTTATATGCCATCTTGCCCACAGCTCAGGCTAAAAATCTCATTTTGGTTCTCATTTTCTAAAGAAAGCACATAGATTTCAGAGGGAATACATGTGGTGTTGCTGAGAGGAGTTTGCTTTTCACAATTGAAAATGTTTTTTGTTTTATCTTCAAAATCTGATTTGGAATAAATCAGGACTAAATTGATAATTTTTCTCAAGATAAAGCATGTATCATCCCTGTAAGTGTTCGTGGTTTCAGTTACTCTGTTAGAGTATTTCAGACTTGACTTAAGATTGTTTTCTATTGTCATATGCAGAGCTGATGTTCTTGGAAACAAGTGCACTAACAGGGGAAAATGTTGAAGAGGCCTTTGTACAGTGTGCGAGAAAAATACTCAATAAAATTGAATCAGGTAAATTAAGGTTACTATTCTAACCCTAATACTTTGTCTTCTGGAAATTAAAATACACCTGAAATATCACTATTTAAAGGTCTGTAATAGAATTTAGGAAAATCTTACTGCAGCCAAATAGCCTGTTTGATTTACAGCTGATACTGCTATGTTTTAACAAAAAATGAGCAGGCAGAAGGGTATACCTGAAGGGAAACAGGGAGAGAGGGAATATGTGAATGTTTTTACAAAGTTTGCGTTAATAGCCAGCTCTGAGCATAGTCTGAGCATTCTGTGGGTTGTTGTGTCCCCACAGGCATAACCTTTTAATACCAAGCTTCAGCAAAGCAGAATAAGACACTAGTATCAAGGCACACATAACTCCTAATTCTGCTTCTCGTATTTAGCAGGGAAATCTGGTCAAGAGAATTGAAGCAATAACACTGAAAACATCAGGGATGTTTCCTAGCAACTTACGTTTCTCAGGAAACCTGCTTGAAACTATTTGGTTTTCTTTTCCAAATCTAGAAATGCAATTTCTATATACCCTTGTTTCTATAGAAATAATAATTTATACAACTATTTCTGTCTCTTCATTTCTCAATGCAAGCAGGACATTTCACCAGAAACAGGTTCCTAAATGCTCAGTGTCATTAGAGCTAGTCTGCATTGCAGTTCTTTCTTTCTAGTTAGCCAGTATCTCTCTCTTTTTCTTCGATTGCAATTTTGAAGTCTGCCTGATGGACACATTTTGGATGCCTGTCTTTTTTTTTTTTTAACGGAAAAGAATATAGCACTTTCATGGGAATTCCCTGATTATTGTACCAAATGCCAAACAAAATATTTGATTTTAAAGCAGAAAAATGGAAGAGTGAGGCAAAGAACAACGTTCTCATGATACTGCAGTTCCTCAAGTGGTTTAGAGACATTACTAGGGCAGGGCTAAGTCTGCAGACTTCTGCAGACTAATTGTCCCCTCCCTTGTGGGAACAGCCAGCTAGAGAATCATGGAAAAATAGAGTGGAAGGGACCCAGAAGGTTGGTCGTGTGGCCTCCTGCTTGAAGCAGGGTCAGCTTTGAAGTGAGAGCAGGTTGCTCCCAGCCTTGTCCAGGAAGACTTTGAGACCTCTCCAGGAACAGCGGTTCTATAAGCCCTGTGGGCCATGTGCTAAACCACTCTCAAGGTGAAGTTTTTCTCTCATGTTCATGTTGATTCAGCAATTCCCTTTTAGCATATTGTGGATGTTGCCTCTTTTTCTTTTACTGGGAATTTCTGAGTTCAATTTTGTCTAAACCTCTACCTTTTAAAGCGCTGAAATCCTACCTTTAGGTTACCTTTTAGTCTTCTCTTCTCCAGGCTGTGCAAAGGAAGCTCCCTGTGCTTCTGCTTGAATCTTGGTGTTAGGAAAGGGATGAGACTGTTGCAGCTTCAGCTGCCCATGTCCAACCAGTAGCAAGGCTGAGTGTATTTCCAGTAAGCATCCACACAAGCACATATAAAATATTTGTGTATGTATTTATATAAACGTGTAGATCACTTTTTATACATATATATGCGTGTGTTTGCACACATGTGGCGAGCCACACAGACCAACGGGCATTCCCAGCGGCCACTCAAGCAGCACCAACCTTGCTGTCCTGTCCAGCTGGTGCTGCCCTCGTGGACTGATCCATCTCCAGTGACGGGCCTGGGGGTGACTGAGTCAGGGTGTTATTTGGGGTTCCCCCCTGCCGCTGTCTCTCTTGGCTTCTTGGCTCCTTTGTGCCTGTGGAGAGGAGCTTTCTATTTTCTGACCACATAACCTAACAGGGTAGTGTGCATCAACCCTGTCTGAATGTTCAGCCTTCTGCTGAACACCTATTCTAACCTTGGCCAGCTCAACATATAGCTGCAAGAACATTTCCATTCATTCTTCCCTATTCTTTTCAAGTTAATCTTTAAACCAGGTATCTTTTAACTTGAAACAGTGTTTGCAGGTGTGTTAGACGTTTCCTTTGTTAGAAGTGCAAAAACATTTCTTGTTGCAACTTAAATGAGACAACTGCTTTGTCGTCATGATTAAAGCTGACAGTTGAAATTACAGGAAAAAAATTATATAGGTTTGAGATTGCTTGAAGACAGGCAGAATTGAAGCAGCTCTTTCCATGAGTGCAGCAGAACACCATTAGGTGTTTGTATCTGACGTTGTCTTTTAACTTGGATCACGTATAACTAGCATATTCTCACTTCTGTGGCCATTCTGCTTTTCACCAGGAGAACTAGATCCAGAAAGAATGGGCTCGGGTATTCAGTATGGGGATGCGGCCTTGAGACAGCTGAGATCGCCAAGAAGAGCACAAGCAGAAAGTGCTCAGGAATGTGGGTGTTAAAGAAACAAAACACAAGAGTCCCAAACACTGAACTTAGATATAAAAGGTAAGATTACAAAATCTCGGCACATTTGGTAGATTACCTTATTTCATAAGCATGCTGTTGGGTCTGCTTGGCTTTTCTACAGGTAGACTGTAAAAGAATATAAAATCCAGTCAAGCAATGCACAGTAGGACTGAGTTGTTATAGTTCATATTTCTTCTACCATCTACCTACCAAAAGAAGACTAATGGTCTTTCTAAATAATAATGTTTTCGTTATTTTGAGTAATACAGTTAAAAACACTTTAAAATGTTGTATCCCAGAATTATATCCTTTGTAATTACTCAAGACACTAAAGAGAAGGTGAATCTGGTATCATGTAAAAATATTACTGGAAAGAAGAATTCATGAAACGTATGGTGCAGTATCTTGCCACCAGTATCTTGTTAAAAACTATTGTATAGTCTCTTCTGAAATAAAGACTAAGAGGCTTGAAAATTAAAGGTAGTATTGGATTCCAAACTTCCCCTGAATTTTGGGGCCCTAAAAGGAAAACCAGCCCAAGTAGTTCCCATTCCTGACTGTCATGGGCAGAAATGTCTGCAAGAAAAGACCTGCAGTACTTGCTGCTTCAGCAGGGGTTGGTTTCAAGCCAGCTGCTCCCTGTGGCTATTGCTGCCTATAGCAGTGGAGCAGAGGACGCCAGAGATAGATTTTTTTCCCTTTAGCAATAACAGGACAAGAGAGGTGAAAGTCCCATAAGCCACTTCCTAAAACAGTCTAGTAGATAGTCCCTCATAAACACTTATCCTTAGACATCTTCCAGTTTTTAGGAGTTTTGTCTACCTCCCTGCAGTATGCGAATGGATAGAACAGTCGTTTCTCCCTCAGTCAATAATGAGGATAGTTAAGGAATTACTGGGCAGTTACTCTGAGGTTACTGACCCTCACTTGTCTAACAAATGAGGGCAGTGATATCAAAATAAGCTAGTACTGAAAGCATCTTCATTCAGGGCTCCATTCAATTCTATAATCCCACTTTTTGTTCTTTGTATATTTTGAGAGCTTAGCTTCCATTAAAGCTCAGCATTTTAATAACATAAGAATCTTCAAATTGCTTTTCTCCCATTTTCCTTATTAGATATGATTCTTCAGCAAAAAGACTGGTAAAAAGGGAGTCCATTGACTCTGACTCTTGTTGTGGTTGTATCGGAGTGAATGTTTGCTGATTTTTGTTTCAGGAATTGAGTCTGAACATTGATCAGATGTACATCAGTGATGGAACTCTTGTATATTTTTCAGCTGTCCATGCAAATGGTGTTTGAAGAAACAGAGACCGTTTGAGGGCTATGCAGTTTTTTAAAAACATCTTCCAACTATATATAAATAGGACCAGACCACTGCTGGCAAAGTGAACTGTGTGGTGTAATGCAAGAATGTGCACGTGACACAGAAGACTGCAAAGCAAATCTACTAGTTTGGTGGACAATGTTAAGGCTCATACCTGTATGTAAACATTTTCCATTGCCCATTTTTGTTCCTTCTTCTTAGTTTAAAGCATTGCTCTGTACTGTATATAATGTAACAGTAAATTTACAAAGCATGATATACTTATATATGATGATAGAATGTTGCACTATAAGCAGTTTAATATTTTATTTTTTTATCATATAAACTAAAATTTAACTGAGGTAGGCTTTATCATGTTTGTTTGCACAATAGGTTATATTTATTACCTGAATTATAAAGGCACTGGCATTGATTGTCAGTGGTGGATTTTTTTTTCCCCTTAGTTTGTCACATTCTACAAGCAGTTTACATGACTAATACACAACATATGTTTAGGACCCTTACTTATGGTTACCGATATGTCAGTATAGAAAACACATTTTTATTGAAGTGCACCTATCCTATTTTCTCACAATTCTTAAATAACTATGTTTCAGAAGTCTTTTGGCCAACTTCAAAGGTTTAGAGACAAAAGATATTTCTAAGTATCAAATGCCTGTTGACTACTTGAATGTTTCTGTTTTCTTCGTCTAGCACTGGTGTCGCGTGTAGTATTTGTGTGAACTGAACTGTGCACATTGTTTGCTTGTAGCACTAGTCCAGGGACATGGGCTTACAAAAATGATCATGATAAGGGATCTCTTCAGCTCTTATCACTGACAAAGCAACTTGGGCAAAAATGACTTCTGCTGCAAGCATGCCTGGTAAGGTACAAACTGAACCCAAATGAGTTTTTCCAAGGTATGCTGAATGTAAGAAACTTAAAATATCAATTTATTGGCTTTTAAAACTAAAAATTAAAAAACTAAGATTTTGAAATTTTAAAATTAGACTGTCTATTTGGGAACTTGCAGTCCATCTTGCTGGTGCTCTGCCTTGGTGAGTACACTCCATGTAGAGCTGTCTGCAATGCCCCGGCACACTCGTATAATGGAGTAGGAAAAAATCAGCATGCTGCTTAAATACTTCTTTGTGCTCCTGAAACTCAGCAAGGGGCCTCTCAGCATCGGTGTTGGTTAAAATGTGCAATTGGCACTTCTCTGCTCCTGTCTTCTTACTGCAGGGAGCAGGTATGGGCCAACAGCTTAGAAAAGGTGTCCTCCTTGCTGGGCTGGAGAGAGCAGAGGAAGAGATGGGCTGAGGCTGGTGCAGGAGGCTGCAGCCCCAGGCCCCGAGCAGCATTTCTGCAGTGTCCTGGCCTGGAGCAGGTGGGAGCGCTGTGGCTTTCGTGCCCTGCACAAAGAGCTGCAGCTTAAGCACAGTGTTTCTAGGGAGAGCTAAAGGCCAGGTAGGAAGGAAAGGGGGGCAGCCAGCATAGCTGCACTGATGGAAATCGCTAGTGACAGTTTTATTTAATTACTTGTACAGTTAGACATCAGCTGTTTCCTTGGGACTGCATGCTAACACAGAAAATAGTTAATTTGATCAAAACCTACCCTTGAAATATCAAGGGCAAATGTGCTTTATTTTCTATATAGGAATCTTTTCTATTTAAGAGACATTTGTCAAATACATGTTTAAAAACTAAAATGCAGGTGATGCTGTAATTCAGAGGGCAGCCATAGCACAAAAGCAAGGCAAGACTACTACAGAGAGAAGGGTACCATCTTTCATGAAACTGAAAAATATTCCCTTTGTCCTGACGCTTTTGGTTCTAGTGGATGCTTCTCCAGAAGTTATACAGCTGAAGTCTAAAGAATTAAATTTGCTTTGTACGGGGAAAACCTAGGTTAAGTCTTAAAAAGGCTGCTGAAGCCAAAGCCTTTTTTCTTTTGTTATAGGTTTCTCTATTGTCTAGCTCATGCAAGATTAGCTTTGTCACATCAGTTGTTCTGAGGGAGCAGTCCCTTCCTGTTAAAACCATAAAGTGTTTGAAGCAGCTTAATCTGGCATTTACAAGAATTTACCTGTCTTAACCCTCATTTGTGTTACTGTTTCCACTGGAAGTAATTACAAAAAAAAAAATATTCTCTGGAACAGGTATTGGCTGTAGTTACCTCTAACACCAATCCAAATAGCATATTATTCAATGAGTTATGTTATAGGTTTTTTTTGCTAGAGTTTGGAGGAGTTTTTAAACCCCTCCCCCAAACCCAGCTGAAATGCTGGAAAAAGGAGATTTTTTTTCTTTTATTCTCATAATTTAAATCAAAATTCCTGGTACATGGATGGAGCTGAGCCTTTATCGGCTCTGCCACAGCACAGGTATGTCACTGTTACCATGGCTGATGTGGCATTGCCTTGCTCAGAACGTTGCCTTGTTATACAAGCAGTTGTGGGGAAGGGGAAGAGCTACTTAAGTAAGTCTGTTCCTTTTCTTTCAGCAGGGTATTGCTTAAATCTAAAGCGTTTTGCAATACTTTGTTTTCCATTCTGATCATTTTGATAAAGTTTCTAGGGTTAGGTGGTTGTAAGCACAATTCTAATTTTTTTTTGTAACCAGTTGTCTTAAGCTTTCTTACCCCCAGGAAAGAAGGATTAACTTCATTATAATTCACTTTGAAGTACTGTTTTTCTTTAAGTACACACCCTTGTACTATTAGTATCACATGGTAATATTTAACACGTGTATGTTTTCAGTGTACAGTTCTTATTCTACCAAAGCAAGAGGGCTTAGGATTTTAATATACCAGATAGCTAAATACTAGAATTTATTGGTTGTGGAGCTTTAGCTGTTCAAACTTTAAAAAGTTTAAATGTCATCTAAAAGCCTCGGTCTTGCCTTTTAATGAGTCTGTTGGGACTACTCTATTTCTTTTGATGCTTGTATCTAACACTGAATAAAGAATTTTTTTTTCTTCATATCTTAGGTGTTTTATAGCAAAGTGGTTATTCTACACCTTTTGCCAGCTGAGCTACCTATTTAGCAAGACAAGGGGTAGATGTTGAACAACAGGCTGTTGTTGCAGCAAGCACAGCATGGTCTGTACCTGCAGCTCCCAGGAGCTGGCAGCAGAGCATTGGGTGCCCCAGCGCAGCACTGCTGCTGCTTGCACTAGGCTCCCTCAGCACAAGCTTCTCTGGGGGCTGCCCCACAGTGTGGGTAGTGCTGGCACTGAGCACACCAGGGCTCGGGGACCCTGCTGCCTCTGTTCCACTTCAGGCATGGAGCAAGCACAGGATGTCTCCAGGACTTCATTTCTCTCCCCTCCTGCTTATGCTTGAGGGCTTTGGGTTGTGAGGCTGGATGAAGAGCTGCTGCCTTCCTGCTGGGTGCCCTTCTGGGCTGGACCACACACATGGGTCCTTTAGAAGGGAGACTGCAGCTCTCCTGCCACATCTGTCTTCACAAGCTCACAGGGCGTAAAAAACAATTTTTGGTACAACTTGAATTCTGTAGTGGATTTTCCCCTAACTTTCCCCAGACTATAAGGCAGAGGCAGACAGTAATCAATGCTGCATTATCTTGTCAGTCTCTTCCACTGAGGTAGATATTTCTAGCTCCTGCAGAACCTCTATCTTGTCAGTCTCTTCCACTGAGGTAATATTTCTAGCTCCTGCAGAACCTTAGAAAATAATATTAAAAAAAAATCCAATTAGTCTGTACAATCATTTGTATTTACATTCTGTATGCTGAAAGAAAGGCTGTGACAGAATGGTGCACTTCAGTTTGTCATAAAACCATATAGTGAAAAAGCACCAATGAGTCCTGGTTGTTTCCCCTTTCTCTGTAGATGCCAGTAGCACAGAAGATTCCATGTCCTGTATCTGGTTCTTAAAGGGAGAAAGAGAACTAGGCCAAGGTAAAGACGCAAGTCTACAGACTTCAGGACTTTGAAAATAATAAGTAAGGCTTAGAACATTACACACACAGTACCAGCAGTCCAGCCTCAGGGGGAGAGGATGGGAGCCTTGTTCTCACACCGTAAGGTGCTGCCCTGCAGCACAACATGGGTACATTAAACACTGGCTGAAGAGGTGAGCCAAAGGACAGGGGAGATAAAAATAGTGAGCCCCAGCCCTAACCATCATCAACCTCTGGCTTGGAGAGGGCAGCAGGGTCTAAGGTTGTTACTGTTCACTAGGGGAATGGATTAACATCTTTGAGTGATGCAGCAGAGTTGGTATAGAAATATGAACACAGGGAAGAACAAGTCCAAATTGACATCAGCTAGAGAAGTAGAGTTCCCTTCCAGCTAGGGCACATGGAAAAAGGTAGAGCAGTAATGAAGATCTCCCTTCTACCTTGGGCTGTCAGTTAAACACCTTGAAAGGAGAGCAAAGCTCTCCTCTTAAAGGGCACTCCAGTCAGATGTTGGTATTTAATATATATGTCAGTAACAGTAAGAATTTAATTTCTTTCTTGTTAGAAGTCAAGAGTAAAATTCTGCACAAGGGAGTTTTGCTCTTGTCCCATTCCCTTGTGCTCAGGCAAAGGGTTGGGACAGTAACAGTATATTGCCCAAGTGACATGGTCACATCTTTTTAAGTGGTTGGTCAGCCTGTCATCTGGAATGGCTACACCTAGCAATTGTTCAAGGTACAGTAACATTCCTTATGTGTTCCTAAATCTTAAATACTGACAAGATTATACTTAACAGGTACAAGATTAAAAACTATAATGACACCTTCCTGGTTTACTCCCCAGCTTAAATAACACCTTACAACAGCATTTTAGTCTATTTGCCCCTTAATGGAGTTGGAGGGAATGATGAGGCAGTAGGAAAGAACCCCTAGGAGAACACCTCCAAGAGGTGTCTGTTCTAGAACCATGGGAGATAAGCTCAGCTCTCAGAGGATTGAGCACTAGTCTAGCTTTACCCTACACCAGTCTGTAGGGACAACACCTACCAGAAATCTCCTCCATGAGGGGGCAGACCTGGGAAAAGGAGGCAGCTGGTGAAGCCAGAGCTCACAGGGGCTGCAGCCACCAAGCAGAGTCTCCTGAGAGCCCTGCAGTGGGAGAAAACCCAGCCCCAAGTACTACAGTACAAGCAGTCAAGGCACTTTGTGTCACTCATTTTATTCACACATACAAGTCAACACTGTACTATTACATACAATACAGAAGCTTTAAAAACAAATACGATTTAAAAACTCTTTAAAAAAACACCACATATTGCTTCAAGCTTAGATGGTATTTCCCTATAGTTTTTAAAGTGAATTCAGTGCTAACAATAGCTGAGGCAGCTCCTTACTCCCTTCTACCCCCTAGTCCTACAGGGGCCACCAGCAAGGTCTTGAGCAAGGCTCTACATATGGCTTTGTTGCTGTGGGCACTAAGCTGGGAACAATAACCGGGATATGCAGGTTACTGCATGGAGGCCCTCTCATTGCTGGCTTTTGGTCCCAATGCTAGTTTTAGAAAAGTGAGAGGCCTTTATTTAGAGCCAGTGCATTACATCATTAACTGTGGGGCAGGGGTATTTCCCTAAAAGCTAGAAGTTTGGTTACAATGTGCTAAATACCTGGATAAAAATCTTCACCAAAATCAGGACTGTCCCTCACACTTACATTTGTCTCTACATTTAATAGTCACCTTGATTCTCAGAAGCTTCCAGTAACAAAGTCTGTCATTTGGGGTGGTGAAGATGTGCCTGCACAAGCATGCTACTCTATTGCACAGCAACATCCTTAGTCTCCATTGCAGCATTTTACACCATTATCACTAGGCTTCACAACACAATAGCTAAATCGTAGCATTACACACTGAAAATCTTAGGTTTCATTAAGATAAGTGCTTTCAGAAACTGAGAGGAACAGACAAGTTCTAAATGAAGTTTTAAATGAAGCCTGCAGACAACTGTGAAGGTTTGTGTTTGTATGAATACAAAAGCCTTACTTTTAGAACAGGAGTGAGAAGCAATTACTACACAGCTGAATTGAAGAGCCCATGCAAGGCAAAGTTCAGAACTTCCTTAATTCATTGGGGGGGGATGGGGACAATATTCACTAGCTTTTTCATCTCTGAATGGGTGATTTGGTATAAAATAGTGTTACTTCTCTTTAAGAGCCTAAAGTAGAGAGTTAAAGCTTTTATACTTTAAGTGTTTGCTTTCCAAATCAGTTGACTTTGTCAGAATTTATATGAAACAGTAATAGCTATTTTCCAAGCTTTAGTCATTCATATACAAAAATATCTTGAATATGCAGCTTGCAGTGATCAGGACTATATTCTACATATTCAAAGCAACCCTTGGGTTGGGGAGTCAACTTATTGGGAAAATACAGGAAACATACCTGACATTCAGAAAGAGTTTGCCTCTCACTTCAAGCTTTATAGCACTTAAATCAAGTGAGTACCAATATAGGCAAGAGTACCAATGATTTTTAGCTACAGTTGATAAGGATGACTAACACAGAGCCTAATTAGCATCACTGCTGCTTTCCAGCAAGTTTTTGGTGGGTGCAACTTTTGGCCAGACAAGTTAAGGATAGGAACCCCTCAGCACCCAGCAGCCCTGGCACAGGTGAGGTTCTTGTGCTCTGCAGAAGACCTGGAGACCCCTAGCCAAGATGGCTCAAGTTTGTACCCTGTATCCAAGGCAGGAGATATTTAGACCTCCTGTAGTTATCAAAGAGGCTGACACCTCATGGGAGTCCCCTCTTAGCCTAAAATAGGTAGCTAGCTAGGCACATGGTCCTCTAGCCCTCCACTGTCACAGGGCAGAGGGCTGTGGGAGCAGTTCTGAAAGCAGCAAGGCTGGTGCTGCCCTGTGCAGCCAGGAGACACAACACAACCAACAGGCTGAGGGCACAGCCCGCTTGCTTTGCTCACACACTTTAAAAGGCTACAGAGGAGCAGATGTGGTGCTCTGGGCAGCAGCAGCTCTTACTCAATGGGGCTGTTAGATACTGCTTGTTAGATTTCTGCCACTGCTGATCAAAGAGCTAGGTTGATGCCTGAATTAACACACTGTCAGGCAACTTGAACATTTATAGCAGTTAAAGAAGAAAATCAGCATACTGGGTGATAAAAAAGTCTCAGATAGAATTAAAGGCATCCATCTAGCTGAATAGTTAACCTCAGTTTTGGACTCTGGTCTAAAGTCTTAGCTAAATCAGGTTAGAATTTTCTAAATGAAAACATAATATTTCTGAAGTACTGGTTTATGCAGTGAAGTTAAGACTGATCCAGATTTTTTGCTGCCTCAGTACAATGGTGCTTCTAATGAAAAATATGGAGTTTAGTTGGTGTTAAGAAAATGAGTTTCACAACTAGGGTAAGACAGCACATTTCAAAACTTTGAAGCTCACAGCTATAGCCACGACCTGACTAAAGCTCAGCTAACAAACTGAAAAAGTTCATTTACAGCAGCTTGAATGGAAGGAAAAAAAGCACACAAAACCACACACCCCCCTAAGGAATGGACAAATGACTGCTTTACTATGTAAAAAGCAAATGTTGACACTTCATTGTATACAGTAGATTAGAGGGTACCTTTCCATCCTCCTCTGATCCCCATCTCCTCAGTGAGGAGTTCTGAACCAATTTGGAGATGCAGAAAACTTTAGAACTTCATCTACAAGGTTTATCAAAGTGATTTTCAACTTAAAACGTCTAACAGGACACTCATTACACAATACCACCAGATGCATATTGCACTGACTCCACTGAGCATAGAAAGATACTCATAAGTTTAAAGCAGACTTTACTACACAGAAGCCAACCTTCTCCATAGGCAAACTGGCACTGGAATGTTAAGCACAAAGTAAGTGTGACCACAGAGCTAACAGCAATGCCAAGATGATCCTGGCACAGTCAACAACTGCTTATGGAGCAGCAGCTACCACAGAAAATTGTCTACATCAGTCATTTGGTACAATTGTCACAGCAACTCAGAGCCATCCCACAACTGTTCTTTGCTCTGAAAATAAGTGGTCCCAAGACTGGCAAGTAATTTGTTCCAATGACCTTAGAAACAGCAATAAAAAATAAGAAAATATCAGCAGTTCCATTAATCAAGTTTTGAATTTTTGAATTCCTATATATAAGACCACACTTGAGCTTTCTACAGAGTATCCACGTCTGAGTGCCATTTGCCAGACCCACCATCTTTCCCATTACCTGTCTTGACCTATTGTTTTGGATCAATCATTAAATCAAATAGTGGTATAAATGCAAATGCTCCTTCATCACACCTTTAAATTCCTCCACTTAAACCACTTCCTGATCACCTGGAGAGCTTGAGAACTTTTAAGGGTCAACAAATTATTTGGAACCAGGATCAAGAAAGTGTCTTAGGCTGCCAGTACTCCAAGGCTCTCCTCCCCCCTTACAAGGCCCTGAAATGTAGATTCCCAAAAGGGGAACTGTTTAAAAACACGGGTAGCTATATTCAAAAGATTCTTCAAATATTATGGCTCCAACTATGCACCCCACTGTGAGGTAGGTAGCCAAGATACAAATATTGTAACAAACAGCTGGAAACTCCCTGTAAAAACCTTGCATAAGTAGTTTGTGTCCTGATATGCTTGACTTTTTGAAGATGCTTAAGGAAATCAGAATTCACCGAGCTCTTGCTGAGTAGCATCTCATGTACTCTGTCATCCAGGGGTTATCTGGTGGGGCAGGCTTTATTCGCCAGGCTTTCTCTGCCTCCGCAGATCGCACTCGCCTCTGAGAAAGTTTCCTTTTCTCCACTTGTCTCCTGTTCTTTGCTCGCAGGGCAGATTCATGAATCTAAAAGATCAGAGTTAGTGTTACATTAGGAAAAAAGCTCAGGAGTCCCCCGCTCCCCCAGAAAAGCTGAGGGTCACCATCCTATTCCTGTCAGCCCTCCATCCTGAAGGGATAGTATTTGACAGCAAGGTTGCTTTTTATTTTATTTATACCACTAACAGAAGTACAGAACTGTGGGGAAGATGCCTCTGCTTCAGTGCTGCAATTCTGAAGACCTTAAATGTTTCTCTGCATTTTTGCATAGTTTAAATTCCTAAACATCCCTCAGTGTGACCAAACATCCTTTACTAAGCTGTGGTAAAACTAATCTTTAGCAACCCCCTTACAAGACACTAAATTATTTTCTCACAAGCATGCTGCAGGAATGTCTGCACATCTTTATTTCCACATTTTTCCCTAAATTCATTTTAGATACAGCTACTATGTTTATTGCTTTCATCTCCAGAAGATTTGTATCACTGTTTCCCATCTGAGGGCAGAATAACATCTTTGAAGCATTCAAGGAAAGTGCCCTTTCACCTATGCGCTAAGAAGCCATTCCCACCTAAAGAAACCTCCCTAGTGATCAAACACTATGTAACCAGTTTGCATAACTGCAAGTGCTTCAGGAGTGTCCTGCCCTTGTGTTCCACAGCTACACCATTATCTTTAGGGTTCCACCACTTATTTCTGGCATAAGAAATGTTCTAGCATCAGAACAAGCTGCTTCTCTCAAGAATTAAGACCTCAAGCTCCTCTTTCTCTCAAGAGAGCCATCCAGGGAAGGAAAGCCTTCCTGGACAGCTTTGAGCCCTCCCCAGAACCGCAGAACCTCTAGAAGGTAAAAATGGAACTGCTGTAACACCAGGGTTAATGTTTCTCGCTAAGCAAGTATATCTGCAGTACTTGAGTTCTGATACTACCTATGGCTATGTAAATTTAATTACATTCCTCCACTGCTGTCTACATCAAACCTGCAGTGTGGCAGGAATCCGAAGGACTCTGCTGCCAAAATTCCCATTGCCAACCCACAGAGGCAGGTGCTTCCATAACAAAGCATTGGTACCTTCTCAGTGAAGCTCATGTTCCCAGATATTGCCCAAGGAAAGTCACTCTTCTACAGCTTAAACACTTCCCCTGCATTTATGTACCTGTCTGCCTGCTTGGGGATGCTTGCTGCTAACTGCCTGATGCTTTTCTCTTGCCATGAAGTTCAGAATGAAGAAATACATTTATAACAGCCAGTTTTGCTGGTTGCACTGGAACAGCCAGAAACAAGATCACCAGGCATTAATCAAAATTTGAAAATACTGGTCAAAGATGAAGAATTTCAAAATGGATTAATAAAGTTATTGACTTTGCACATGCAAGACAGGCTTATTGCTATAATAGTTTTTGGTGCAAGAATATGGATTGCAATGCTGCACTGTCAGCCCTGCCAACAGTTAATACACAGTTCTAAACTGCTTCTTTCTCCATGCCTAATGCAGGCTCATGAACATCAAGGTGCTAACCCTCTGGGGAGAAACGCATTAACAGCTTCCCACAAGGACCCCAGGTTAGAGCTGTATCATTAGAAAAAGCAGACGCTTGCTGCAGCTTGCATGAAACCCTGCATCTAACACTGCGAAAAGTGGCCTTGATCACAGCTCTCCAAAAGCATTCCTGTTATATACATCTTTACTCACATGGCAGTTACATTTTGTCTTGCAACACTGGCAAAGCTGCAGCTGTGTTCCCTGGCTAGTGAGGACTCTGCAATTCCCAGCTTTAAAGGCAGTTCTATATGTCTTAACATTGTTGGCATTCAGGCCTTCACTATATACTTTCAGCAATAGCAAGGTATAGGTAGTACTAGTGCTTATGCCTTTTGGTGCAGGGGAAGTGCAAAAGCCATTTCTGTTTCTTCTGTAGAAGAAGATTCCTGGATAATTATCTTAGTCCTCAAGACAAAAAGTCTGAGGATTCAGCTAGGTATGAGGGGGGGAAAAAAGCTGTTTTTGAGAAAGGGTCTTTAGGAGAACAAAACTAGGCATCCAGAAATACAGATTTTGTTCCCAGACACTTTAAAAGCTTTTCCTCACAGATACCTATTGCCTAAGGGCTACCTGAAGAGATTCACTTGCATACAGCTCGAGTCTTAATCAGTCCTGGATAAAAGGGACCAGACCCGAAGCAGGAAGCCCCAGCTCACTCTTCCTGCCTAGCACAGCACAAGTACAATGCAAGATATCAGCACCCACAGCAACACACCAACACAATGCTGAAGTCCTCAACATTCCCTGGAAGACCACAAATAAAAGCATCTAAGAAGTTTTGCCTAGGTTTTAGACATTTTTGGCCCACAGATGCAGTGGTCTGACTACAGCAGCATTTTAAAATACAGATCAAGTGTTTTCACTTACTTCATTCACTGAAGCAGAAGCACAGACATTGTGAGTTTTCTGGCTTCCAGTATCTGTCCGTCTTTCTCCCGACCCATAGAGGGCAAAGGGATGTTTACTCTCCTTTGGCACATCTGCCTTTTGGGGACTTTTGGCTGACCTTCGATCATTGCGACTGGACAAGGCACTTCGACTTGGACGTCGTCCTGGATGGCTGGTTTTGTCCGTTTCCTTAATGGAAGGGTGTTCTACATTTTTTTCTGGTTCTTCCTTCTGCTTTTCTTGATCTTCTCTCTCTTTTTCTGAAAATAAAATTATGCTTTAAACATGCTGTCATTGGGAACTGACATCTACTCTGCTGAGCTTCTCTTGATACATCATGGTGGTTTCTTTAGAAAGGGAAGAGGTCACTAATTCCTTGGCAGTAGAGGTATAATTTGTTAGATAACCTCATTCTACCCTTAGGAACCACAGCTTAATTTATGTCCCTCAGTATATCACTGTCCTTATATTTAAACATGCCACTACTAACAAGGCTACAGATACCTAATCACCCCAGGCAATATTGAAAATGATGCAAATTGCTTCCAAGGGGATCTATCCTCACTGTTTCATCCTTCCATATTTCAAAAGGGCAAACTTTTAAGTGACACATAGATGCTGCCAGCCAGTCACTGGAGAACAAGTCTGATCAGAGTAAATGAAATACTAAATTATTCACATCAGGAAATTTACTGAAAAGGAATTTGTACTTCATTTTCAGGCACCTTTATTATACATCTTAATGTGTTATGGGAAGAGTAAGTGTAAAGCAAATTTACAAAGCAACATCACCTATGTTTTCAGTTTTAAGAGGCTTGTTTTATGCTTAAAGCCTCATCCCCTGCAAACAACACCATCATAGATTTGATTTATAACATTTTGATTTAATGTTTTTTTAAAAAAATATTAAAGTGAGTGCTCAGGATAGGAATTACTGACTAGAAAACAAGTCAAAGCTTTTCACTTCTGAGACTTCAGATGTTCAGAACTGGTGACAAAAGGTCTTTGATCTGTTAATAGAAACCAAATACCCTGCTTACAGGATGCTAATGAAACATGACTACAGAAAAAAAAGTAAGTATCTGTGTAGGTAAATGCCCATTTTAATTCTCCATAGTGCATCTCCTCATGATGAATCTGTACAGTTTGGAGAAGCACAATAGACATTCAGCAACACCAGCACAACCCAAGCACTATGACCAAAGTCTTACCATGACCAAGCCAAGCACACCTTTAGCTTAAAGCAAAGCTAGAAGCTCTAACCAACCAGTCTAGTGGCATCTGCTAGAAAGCAGCCTGCCTTCTCCAGCACCCTGCTTTGGGCCAGAGCCACCCCCTTGCACTGGGCACACAGTGTGAGCTCTGTGCACACAAGTGCCCCTGAACACAGGGTGTTTCTGCCACACCACCTACTGCTTCCTCTTCAGGAGGCCACCACCGTGCAAAGCAGAGAAAGGGGCCTGTACTTGGCTGAGGAATGGGACACAAGAGGAAGGCAAGCTTCTGAGAAGAACCTTCAGGCAGATTCTTCTGCACAAGTTAAGCAGTTAACAGAGGTAGAAATCAACCCATTAATGTTTCAGAATGATGCTTTGTTTTTAAAAAGTTTTCCTCAAGCACAGTTTTTTCTTGCAAAGATATTCATCTAAGAAGATGCCTGAGTTTTCCTCAAGCACAGTTTTTTCTTGAAATGATATTCATCTAAGATGCCTACAAATTACTTTAGGATTAGGTAGTTGTGGCCTGAGTGACTCCACAGCCTGCAATACAGTCACTGAAAGAAGAGTAGAGACCTGCTACAAAGCTGCTTTTCTGCAGCATGTCTCAGCATCTTCAGTCCCCACTGGCATTCATTGGTGTAGGAAGAATTCACCCAGTTTAATGCTTGGTTATATATTGAGTGATTGATCATAGACAAAACTAGAACATGTTTTAATTAAGCATCTTCCTAAGCAGATGGGCTTGCCCATGCTGTGACACAAAAGCAATCATTCATGCTAGCTGCCACAACTGAACTAGTCAATAAGTGTCCAAGCCAGCTATGGTGTTTTACCTCCCTATTGCAGCCACCCAGCCCAGCAGCGCCTCACACTAATGCCCCCTCTGCCCTTGGAGGGGAAGGGCACGAAGATGGGAGTGCTGGGGCATGTAGGGCAAGGAAGGGAAGGGAAGATCCCTGCTTCCCTTTGCTACAGCTGCTACAACAACCAGCTTGCAGTGCTATATTTAAGAGCTCAATCAAGTGTATGTGAAACTACTAATTGTAGCCACAGCTAAATAAGTAGGTAAGGAAGAAAAGCAGTACAAGGTCAGATAAACAAAAATAAAACAGTAATCTCAACTACCTCAATTCCAAGTTCAAAGTTTTTCAGCTATTATTGCCTTTTTGCTTTTCATCCAGTCCCAGCTAACTAAAACACCTCAACATGTGTGGCATCATAGCTGTACCAGGCAAATTCCTCTAAAATCCACTTTATCCTTATACCTCTTTAGTGTCTGTTCCTGAGAAAGGACTGGCTGCATCCCTTCTGGGGAAAGTCATATAATTCCTTTGAGCATGCCACTGAAGGGCTCCAGAAAATAAGCTGTCCTCCTTTAGCATCTTATTTTGTTGCCAATTTTGAAGCAGAAGAGTTTTTCCCTTTGGGAAGCCACTCCATTTCTCCCTTAAAGGAAAAACTTGCACCTTCCTTCTCTAGAGGAGTGTTGAGTTCATGAGCAGCAGTGGTGTTACATGGAGACTTCAAATCAAGGGAGAGTAGCATCTCTGCAGCTGAATGTGTATTCTAGCACTGAAATATTATTCCAAGGCAAGTAAGAGACAAGCCTGCATGCTGCTCACTTGGATAGAAACCCAAGTTGCACAGTTTGAGCCAGCTTGTGCTGACTCCATGTATTACATGGAGTTTTACAGTAAATGATGTATGCCTCAGCATACAATAGCACCTTGTTAAAATATCCATGCTGATATCAGGTGATTATAAATTAATTCCTACAGTTTATAAAGATATCTCCCACAAACTGAGTTCTACAAGTGATTTGATTTTGTCTAAAACTAGAGCTGATATCCATTCTATTTTATTAAGCATTTCTTTTCAGAGGGAGGTAGCAAAAGAACAGTTAATAGCTAGGGAGGAGGCAGACTCAGCTGCTCAGGAAGCACAGTCACCAGCAGCAGCTCTCTTCTGTGCAAGATGTCAGCATGAGCAGACACCACCTAATGCAACAGTGCATGCTGTGAAGAACAGAAAACTGACCCTGACATTACAGGGATTAGGCAGACCAGAGGTAAGACTAGGAACATGTTAAAACTGCCTCATGGATGGTAAGTGGAGCACACTGGACAGGAGGGGATTAAGTGCTTAGCAGGCAGAACAAGGCTGCCAGGCCCACCCGGCATGGCCAGGGAGAGCTCCTCCCCAGAAAAGGAGATTTAGATTCCCCCTGCATTGCCCAGCTTACATAACAGCTCCCCTCAGCAGCAGCTCAGGCAGGAGCTGCTGGCACTTTCCTCCCTTCCCCAGCACTGCACACAGCATCAGGCAGACACAAATCCCACTCAAAGGCTCTGCTGATTTACCAGAAGCAGCAACAGCCTTCTGGTCAGACCCACCAGTTAACAGCAGGATCTTAACACACGTTAGGACTCTACAGTGCCTCTACAGGCAGCACTACCCCAGGGCCAGAAGAAGCATTTTGCACTAAAGCAGGAAACTCTGGGCTCTGCTCACATCTTCAGAGCTCACCTGCTCAAGCTCAGCACTAGAACGAGCTTCCAGAGCAGATACAGCTCAAGCAACATCTGCTCTGCACATCACAAGAGCTTTACAGAGTGAATACACACCTCTCCAAAGAGGGAGCTTCTCCAGGACCTGAAGGGACACATATGCAGTAATGGCTATGAACTTGCTGCAGCTAGGTGGAAAGTAGTTATCTACCAGACAAGCACTACTGATTTCCAGGCAAGACCCCAGTGCACCGCTTTGTATGTAAGAGTAGTTGCTCCTCCAGCAGCACAGCCTCAGAGTTCATGTGAGCTTGAGCCATAGCAGAGATTGCCAACTGTCTTGACTTGATAATGACATTGATTTCAAACAGCAGAAAAAAGGACTTTGTAAGATAGTACCATAGCCCCCTAAGCTGATACTGTAACCTTCTTCCCCTGCCATAAGCTGCTCCTTCCCAGGCCCCTCAGCCAGTGCAAATGGACATGCAACATTGAGGCAAATATTAGGGAATGACACTTTGAAACGAGGTCTTCTGAGCTGTACTAATACAGATCAGTGACCTTCAAGCTATTGTGTGGCAACTGCTTTGACAGCAGTGACAAGTTGGTGTCACTTGACCCCTGTATCAAAAAGCTCAAGGCTAACTGCAGTAAGGATGGAAAGACAGGTTTATGCTGTACTTGTGTGCAGCAGTAGCACTTAGCAGCACTGCTGCTGTCAAGAGCTCCCATTTTACTTCCCAGCCAACTGATTCTGCTGACAATTTTGAGGATGTGTCCACTAGAGCAGTTGGCTTAGGTTAAAGTTTTATGGGATTATATTTAAAGCAAATCAATGCCTGTACATGTTGTACAGAATAGCCCCACAGGCAGTTGTTACAAGTGAAAGGCCAGCAAGAATTAAGCCAAAATTGCCATCGATCCCTTTGACATCACTCAGCTATAGCTTAAGCATGATACAGATATAGCAAAAGGCATCTGTGTTATTTAGTCTAAAGTACCCCCACCAAGAGCCCTAAGATGCTAACACCACTACACCTTCAGGTCAGCTATAGACAGAACTGAAGTCCACACCCAGCAGAAGCATTTACAATTTGCTTTCAATGCACCCTTTTAGTTAAAAGCTACATAAGAAACAGGTTATTCCGTTTTTGCTAGAGAGAACTGCTGCATGCAGTTGTACAGTGTGAAGGCCTGTATTGTCAGCCATAGCCTGAACACCAGGCCTGAGCACTTCTGGCACACAGAGCATCCTACACTGACACAAGACACGTGCAAGTTTACCTCGAGGAAGGATAAGCAAAGAAAACCAGCTACATGCACCATAATACCTGAAGTAAACCCTTTTTAAAATGACATTAGTACTGGCTAAACACACTTATCCATAAGGACTGTAGATACTGTTCAGCCAGGAACCAGGTTGCTCACCTGAGCAAGCCCACAGGCCTCCTGTGGCAGCCCCCGAGGGGGCTCCAGTGCACAGGCAGATGTCAGACACAGAAGATAGATGTCATGGAGATGAACT